AAAAAATATGCAGATTTTTTGGCGGGAAAGTGATCTCAGAAAACAGGCAAGATAACGGGCTGAAACTTCCTACGGATGTTTCCTGTGTATGTGTCAGCTAAAGATTTCAATTTCAGCCCCCATGTATGCGTGATACTTACGTAAGGACGTATGAAAGTTTTGACGGAAAGATTGCTAACCCGGGAACCAGAAAAGCTGGAAGGCTGAAATTTTGAGGGAATGCTCCCTGTCCAAGTAAAGCTTAAGCATTTCAAATTCAGCCCCCAGCTATGCGTGGTACTCATGTAAGGTCGCATTAAAGCTTCCGCAGGAAAACCACTAACTCGGTAACCAGAAAAGCTAAAAAACTGAAGTTTTAGGGGATGTTCCCTGTCCAAGAAATTAAGTATTGCAAATTCAGATTTGAGGTGTGCGTGGTACAGGCACTTAAAAGTTTTGGCGGAAAAATTTCTCACTGAACAGCTAGGTTACTTTTAAAGAACGATCGTTAAATGGAAATTATACATTTACTTTATGCAAAATGGTGATTTATGCTAGTGACCGCAAAAAGTAGGTGTAAAACAACGACCATTCATGCAGCTAATGACCTGAGTACTTCAAGTCCAGTGCAAAAACGCATGATCGCACGGACCCACCCGGTGCGTTCCAGCCTGGGTCTTGATTATGCAGCGTTAGAGCTGAGACAGACGAATTTTACTACATGTGGTTTTGCATAAATCATGCAAAAACGCATGAACGCATTAATTTTTTTTTTTGCACGTGCTTTATGTTCTTGTAGTTGGAAATGTCCCTCCATGTGTTTTGGCTAACAGGTTGAAGTGGACATATGGACTTCTCATAACTGACCATCAATTTCTATGCGAAATTAGGACGATTTAATTGATAGTGAAATTTTGCTCATCGGTTTTGGCCGTGATCAACAGTTTCAGAAATTATAAGCAAAGAAGTGGAGAGGCAGAAAGCGTAGAGAGAACAATAGATTGGAAAAGGTATGATTACAGTGCGCAACAAATCACAACATACATGGATTCGTGAGCTGATCGGTCCTTCGATGACCCAACGGCAATTTGCGTTGGCGTTATAAGGCGATGGGTAATTTGGTGATTGTATTTTGCCGGATTCACCTTTCTCGTATTTTAAACACGTAATCACTTTCGGAGATGCTGAAAGATATGAAACACGGCATTCTTTGAAATTCATTAAGCTGCCATCAGTTCGAACAAAAAATAAAACAGCCGCCTCTTCTGTTGAAGAAAAATTCAGTACGAATTCGCAATGCTTTATCAGTTGTCACTGCCTCTTCAGAGATCGTATGTGAAAAATGCTGAGAATTATACTTGAGCACATCATATATGTTTGAACACCCGAAAAAGACTTTTCTACAACAAGCTCAGAACCTCAAACATTCATTCACTCTCACAAATTAACAGAAAGTCCCTTCAGAGCCTGCTTGGCTTGTTAAGTCTTACCGACGATTGACTTAAATCTTGACAAAAAAAAGTGTTTCACGGACGGGATGGTTTACAGCCCGCTTCCGATGATTAGTTCGATACGTGGAAAATTGTCTGATATTTCACTAATTTAAAAAAAAACCTCGAAAATTTCTA